GTTAAACAATTAGAATCAGTTTAAAACAATACTAATTAAACAGTCACTGGTTTAATACAATTCAAACAAATTAAGGTTAAATAACTACATAACATTCAATTGATTATAACTTCAGCTATTCAGGTGAACACAAATTTGGAACATTACTTCATTTCACTCCAATTTGAAGCTACATTAGTGTGAGTTCGAACTGTGTACCTGGATTTAAAACAGAACAGAAGAACAAGAAGAAGTCAGCAGCAAGTAATCAATTGGTATTCAGCAGTCACAAGCAGCAATAACAGGCAGAAATCAACAACAACCCAGAGCTAACTCAATCAGTCCAGGAATAGCTTGAAACCCAGCAGAAACCAGAAATCCACCAGACACAATTTGACTAAACCAATTGAAATTGAAATTGAACCCCAAAACTTCATTCACACTCAGCAAATAACCCAACGGAACTCGAACAAACAGATCCAATCCTACAAATGACTCCAAATGCTTTAATTTCGAATATAGAACAGAAGCAGAAAAGTTCCAGCTATTTCTGATCCTAAGAGAGCTAAAGAGCCGTTCACGGTGGTGGCGGCGCCTAGGGTTTGCTATATTTGAGAATTTTGGCTAGGGTTCGAAGGATTTCAAGCATGGATACGGAAAGAGGAGGGAGGGAGGAATCTTTGGTGAAAAGTTGGGCGAGTTTGGAGGCCGGCCGCCGCCGTGGGCGATTTCCGGCGGCGGCGTTAAGGCGGAGCCGGCGAAGAGGCAAAGTACGAGGAAGACGGATATTGTCTTTAGGGTTTGGTGTTATTTTAGACACTTATATTTAAAATCCAACATTGATCAAGGGCCGTTGGATCAATCAATATGAAAGGCTGTGATTGCCTGACGACTAAACGCCGTCGTTTTGCTTATAGGAAATAGGAGGGGAATTTGGGCCGGGTTTGGGGCAGAACCTGGACGGGCGTGACACTGGTTTGGGCTGGGTGAAGTCAATTAAATGGCCCAATTAGGCATTATTGAGGCAGCCCCTTTTAATTGCTTCTGTTTTCATTTTCTATTTCTTTTATTTATTTTTTGTATTTTATTTTGTATTTTTTCCTGATTTTGCAAAAATTAAAATGAAACCTAATTTATTTCCAAAATTAAGCTAATTAATCCCTACAACATTGATTAAATCCTATTTAAAAGTAGACTCAACAATTAACAATTAAAGATGCAAAAGTGGACTATTTTTGTTAGTTTCTTCATATTTTGTTCTAAAAACAACTTAACCACTAGTTAATCCTAAAATATGAAATTAAATCCTAAATGCAAATGTCCAGCATATTTTTTATATTTTTCATATGAATTATCATGAACAAATAAAAGGCAACAATTAACAGAAAATAACGCAGAATTCAAAAATTGTAAAATAATAAAGAGAATCATTTTGTTTGAATTTTTGGGAGTGATTCATATAGGGCAAAAATCACGTGCTCACAGTTGCTCCTCTTTGCCCGGAAACACGAAGAATTTTCGTGCAAAGATAAGTGAGCGGAAACGAGCGATTTTTGCCCGTTTGAATATTCCGTGTGAAGCGTTTTTGAAAGAGTTGACCGCACCCTGCTTCAGAGGTTGCCTACATATCCTAGGCTAAACAGGAATCAGGTCAGTGTAGTTCGGGAAGGTCTGGTAGCTGGGACTACCAGGAGCTGTGATTTCACTGTTGTTGTTGTTGTTACTGCTCGCTGACCTCCTTATTACACCATGGTAAACCAAAAGAAGCTAACCTAAGCTATGATCTATGAATTACAAAAGATCCTATCTATGCCTTCAAACTTGGTCTTGCGTTGCCTTGAACTTGTATCTTGTATTCTTCCGATGGGATTCTTGCTGTTGTCTTGCATTGTGATTGGAGATGTTTCGCCATTCCTCCGAGTGATTCTTGACCGCTAAGATTTGAAATATATGCCTCCATTCTCCAGGCGGGCTCCTGATGGCTGACGTTTGAAAAGTATTCCCTTGTTCTCCAGGTGGGCTCCTGATTGCTGAACTTGAAAAGTATTCCCTTGTTCTCCAGGTGGGCTCCTGATTTCAACGAAACAGACAAACAAAGAAAATTTTCTGCCCCGGTTTGGTGGCTGGGCATATCGTGTTATCAAAAACATGAAAGCTAGAATTTGAATTGTACTTCCCCTGTTCTCCAGGTGGGCACCTGACTTCTGAATTTGAAAAATATTCCCTTGTTCTCCAGGTGGGCGCCTGACTGCTGAATTTGAAATGTATTCCCTTGTTTGCCGGGTGGGCGCCTGATTTCAACAAAACAGACAAACAAAGAAAATTTTCTGCCCCAGTATGATGACTGGGCACATCATGTCACCAACTATCAAAATTAAAGGCTAAAATTTGGATCGTATTTCCCTTGTTTTCCAGGTGGGTACCTGCTTGCTGCNTACTATTCGTCCCTTGTATTACAAAAGTATTAACGGCTTACATTTATATTATTTAGATAGTAAATACAAAAGTGATTTTTAATTTTGACCATTGTTGACCTGAATAGAGACCAACTTTGGTCGCTAATTATACATGAATTTAATTGAGCGACCAATGTTGGTCGCTAAATTTAAATCAGATTTATTTATATTTTATATAATATTTAAATTAATAATATAATTATTAAAATTTTGTAACTGAGTCCCACTTTAGCGACCAAGGTTGGTCACTATCTGCCTACCCTTTAATTAGCGACCAACGTTGGTCGCAAATTTTAAATTATATTATTTACATTTTATAATTTTTTTAAAATAATAATATAATTATTAAAATTTTGTAGGTGGGTCCCACTTTAGCTACCAACAGTGGTCGCTCCTCTCAGTAAACCTTTGACCAAGCAAGTCTGACCAGTCCAGTCAACATTTTGACTAATTTAGCGACCAAGTAGCGACCAACCTTGGTCCTAATTTGTTTCAACTATTTATTTTATTATTTTCGCTAGTTTAGCGACCAAAGTTGGTCGCTTTCCGCGACAGACCAACTTTGGTCGCTAAAGTTTGGTCGCTTTTTCCGGAATTCTAGTAGTGCACCACCTTTACCTATTTCGTCTTATATATTATTTGCCTGAATTATATATTTTCCAAAAATATTTTGTGCTATCTAACCGAACACCAAAAAAATAAGTAAGAAAATATTTTTCAAAGAAAATATTTTCCTTCGTACCAAACACAACCCGGGCAATCATGCAAAACTTTTACATAGGTTATAACAATAAAAGTTTATTAGCACTCAATGTTATATTTAACCAAATAATTTAACTCTAGTAGCTAAAAATTAAAATCTGAATGCATATCTCTTAACTGTGGATAAGTGATAAATGTGAGTATGAAAGTCATATATCCAGCGTTAGTTAATTTATTTGTGTAAAATTTTACATATTATAAATCTCCACTATCTTAATAAGCAATAATCCTAAACGACGTCGTTAACAGTTCTTTTAAGTAAATGCAAAAGTTGTCTCTTACAAAAAGATTCAGAACACAGACAACAGAAAAAGCATGTGAAAGTCTTTTTCTGGTACAGTGGTACTTAAACAAAAAAGAGAAAATTACCTTCATTGTCACTTGACCCAACATATCAACAAAATTAGACCCATATTTTAGGTCCTTACCCGATTTAACCCAGATTGTACATATATTGCAATATAGTTTTCATCGGTTAGCCCAAAACACTTAAAAGGTTTTTTCTTTCTTTTTTTCTTCATTCTCGACGCACCCAATTCTCTCCCAACCACGTCTCTTTTCTTTCTTTCTAACCCNCCACGTCTCTTTCTTCTTTTCAACCCAACAAATTCCATCATCCTCTCTTACCCTAGCCTCCATTATTCCCTCCTCCCCTTACCCTCTACACAATTCTGGCTCAGGCTCCTCCTCCGTCATCCAAGCCCGCCAAGTCCGATGGTGGCAAGCAGAAGAAGAATTGAAGATTTTGAAAGAAAAATGAAAACCCACGCAGATCTGAAATCTTTAGCTCTCAAACTTGATTTGCGCTGAGAAATAACCACTAATTTTGGAAGATTTTGAAGTTCGAAATTCGGATCAGCATTGTTACGACTTTAAAGTCTCTGATCTAAAATTGGATGTATGTTGTCTGGGTATTAAATTCGGAATCGTTCGCATAAAATTGTAATACATGCTGCAACAACTCAAAGTTGGAATAAAAAATCATAACCATGTAGCAGCTTGTATCGACATTGTATAATAATGTATAATTATGTATATGAATGTATAAATACCTCTTATACAGTATTATACATATTTATACAGGTTGCTATATTTTTTACAGTTAGTGTAGTGTTGGGCACAATGTGTTTTCTACTGAAAATATTGTATAACTAGTGGTCATATACAGTTATATAGTATTGTATACTTATGTATAAATGTGTATATTTATGTATAATGCTATATAATTATATATTTTTTAGTTTATAAGAATCTAGATACAATGTCATTGCATAAGAGGCCTCCATGGAAGTTTGACAATTTCTTCTCTTTTTTTTTCTTTTTTGTTTATGTGAAATATGAAAAAGTTTTTATATGTGCTAGAGGGATTCTACAATTTTTTTACCAAGTTTTGATTTTTCTTTTATCTTGTTGGATTGCTTCAGCAATTGCACATAAAATTTTACTTTTAATTTAAAATTGATTAATAATTTTGATATGTGAAAACCCAAATGGTTCACCATTTAAAAGAGTACGAAGATTGGAATATTTCATTGAAAAATCATGTTTTGCCATAAGAAAAAAGAAAAGGAGAAACTATTTATTTTAATACATAATTTGTTGGAATTTAAGTTGGGAAGAAAAAGAAACAAAGACATAGATAAAACTTTTGAGGGGGAATGTGGGGGATGTGGGGGGAGGGAGGAAAAAATTGTAACCCTGAGAGATTGAAAAAAGATCTTGTCATACCATGTGAATGATATCATATTGTCAGAAAAAGAACTGATTGTTAACATTTATTGGGCCATCCGATGAAGATATTATTTTAGGCTAAGCGGTTGAAATGTATTTTGTACACTTGTACTTTTATGAAATTAGCCCAACAAAAAACATCAAAACCTCAACTGAAGCTCAAATTGTTGGAACCCAAAATGGAATCTGAAGCTCAAGTTTCTTCCATTTCAATGGAAGAACTGAGCTTTGAAATCCCTATTGAACTCATCATTGAAATACTCTCTAGGCTACCAGTGAAATCTCTGCTACGATTCAAGTGTGTATCAAAATCTTGGCTTTTTTTAATCTCTAGCCCTGAATTTGCTTACACCCATCTCGGTATAGCTGCTAATAGTAAGGAATATACTCAACATAGTGTTATCTTGAAATCATATCCACCTGATTTCAAGCTTAAGAATTGTTCCCTTAGTTCTTTACTTTATGGTTCTGTTACTGAGGCATTTGACTTAAGTTATCCTATGAAAAAACCATGTGGATATGTTCGTATTGTGGGTTGTGTTAATGGGTTAGTTTGTCTTGTTATTGAGCAAAAGTATTTCCTTCTCTGGAATCCATCAATTAGGAAGTTCAAGAAATTGCCTGATCCTAGAGGTGGTTATTATATTATGTATGGTTTTGGATATGATGAGCTTCATGATGATTATAAGGTAGTTGTTATTTCCAATAGTTCGAGTTATAACGTTTTGGATCATGCAGTTGTGGTTAGAATATATAGCCTAAAAAGTGATTCTTGGAGAAATATTTGTGAATGTTATGAGGCAGATATCTACATTGAAAGCCTAGTTTGGCCCGTTATTACAAAACAAACAAGGATGCAACAACAACAACAACGAAGGTTGAAAAAGCTCAGATGAAGACGATCGTGTAATTGATAACTAGTAAGAGTTCTCTATACATTTTCCTCAATATGCTGTTAAATTCTGTTTTCTTTGTCAAATTTAGTACAAGGCATTGCATATTACAAAGCCACCGTATATCTTCCTTAGGACTGTCTTCTCATTGTTTTACTTATCTGGTCAATCAAAGGTTGAATTGTGTTTCACTTTGTCAGTGACATTGAATTGTTGTTTGAATTGTCTTTCAAACAACAATTGTGATGGGTTTGTTATTTAATAAATAACAACAAAAGAGGTGTGAATGGAAAATGGTGGGAAAAGAAATGGAGGGATGACCCGCGACCCGGTCCGGTCTAGCCCGTTTTTCTTTCCAGGATTAATTTAAATTCGTTTTAAATTTCCCGCGAAAAAAAATTTCCAACAGCCATGGCTGTTATGAAACAGTGTCACGCCTGTTCCAACAGCCATAACTATTCTGAAAAGTTGCAAGCCTCTTCAGAGGGTCACACCTGTTCCAACAGCCATGACTGTTCTGAAAGGTTGCAAACCTCTTCAGAGGGTCACACCTGTTCCAACAGTCATGACTATTCTGAAAGGTTGCAAACCTCTTCAGAAACATCACCAAGTATAAATAGACCTTCAAATCCCAGAATATTTACTTACGAAATTTTCTGAATCTTCTTCTTCTTCTTCTGCACAAAATATTCCAGTGTGTTTTAAGACCATCGAGTGGTTCGCCGATCACCAGAGTTTTAGGTACCGATACACTGGTGAGTTAAATCGTTCTATCCTGGGAGGATATATTCCAAAACCTCGGGTACTTGAGGGGAATAATTTCCTTAAGGACACACTGTGTATTCAGTGGGCTCGATTTGTTCCTATAACGTTTTTCCAGAATTTATTTTGAAGAAGTTTACTGTTTTCGGAATTTAATTTCTACTAACTTTCTGTTTCTGTTTTCAGAAAGATTATTATTTAATTTACAGCAATACAGATAAATAACAAATTGTTCCTACAATAGTAAATTCTTTTACCATATGTAGGTTGTCTTAAATTTGACTTCTTTTTTAATGAATTCTTGTACATTTCAAGTGTAACTCCTACTTGTTATGATATCAACTACTCCATCTACTATCATACGCAGAAAATTTGAAATTAGGTCAATGTAGCCAAGCTATACAAACAAGGAAAAATAGCTAATCCGTGTAAGAAACAATGTCAAGAATTTGATAGACATGCATTGACTTAAATTTTGGTTCAATTTGTTGATATTGGTCCTTTGTGAGCCATTAAATTGAGGAAGCAAGGGAGAAATGCCGCAAAGCCCAAGGTAACTTATTGTGCATTAGTGGAACAATATTAAGGAGAAAAGGGAAAGAAGCCAAAAGGTTTGTATGTGGAAATTCTTTGCAAGTTAGATTTACTGGAGCTGGAGAGGGACAAGGTTTCTTAAGTTGCTCGAACTCGGGTGCAGGTTTCCTATACGGGGACGGATCCGAGTATCGGATACAGCAAAATCTAAATTTTAAGTTTGGGTTTGGGGGGGGGG